AGGCAAGAGGTTAATGAAGCAAAGATACGACTAGTTGAAGCCGATCATGGCCAGTCAAAGTAACAAGATGCAGTACATTCAGCACTTATTGAAGCGATCTGACATTCTCTGTCTCTCTCTGTGTCTCTCTACAGCAAAGCAAAGCCAAGGGGTTAATGAAGCAAAGCTCCAAGTAGTTGAAGCAGATCTTGGCCAGTCAAAGTAACAAGATGCAGTACATTCAGCACTTATTGAAGCGATCTCTAAAAGGATGACATTCTCTGTCTCCTCCCTTGAAAATCCTGTTTTATTTTGTAAAAAAAGTAAAAAACTTTTGTGGAGATGTGTGTTGAAACGGACTCTCGAGTCCTGGAGACTCTTGATCTTGAGCCAATCTCCGTCCTGCAAGGGTCACAGAGACGATGGCATGCACCACTTGCCTCCTGTTGTTGATTTGCACCTGTTCTCAAGTGGCTTCGTCACACGCTAGTGAGATACTCTGCTGCCATTTGAGGGCTCTGGCTGCGCCGCGAGCGGGTTGGAAGAGTCGCGGTGCGGCTTGCCCGCTGCTGCATCTACGATCGCTGAGAGGGTCAGGCTGTGGCAGGGCGCTGTGAGCTCCCAAGTGTATAATATGCCCATTCGGTATGCGCTTGGTCATTGCCTTGGCCGCGAATTCTCGTTGCTCATCATAAGCTTTTTCCATTTAGAAAAATCAACACGAACGACGACAGCGAGCCGACGCGGCTGTTGCTGCCCATCACATGGCGGGCCGTGTGTTTCAGGATGATGAACCTCAAGGTTCTTCACAGGAGCAGTGAAAGGCCAGCCCGCCAGTTTTCGATCATGCTTTGTTTCGCTTGAAGCTTTTTTCCGGTAGCGGCCGTTGCCGTCGTCCATCCTCACCGGCCTTGTTCTGAACTGCGTACGATGCGACCCCAAATGAAATTCATACCGCGCGTACTCGCAACGGATACCAACAAGACACGGCCCATGACGGTCGAGCACTCTGCACTCGGGAGGAGCAAGCTTTGAGAGCCGAGTATCTTCGATCAACGAGCCGCATGAATCGCTCCCGTACGCGCAATGATGTCATACAGCTGATGAACGAGCTGCTTGCCGTTTGCCGTGAGAGGAGTATCATGCGCAAGAGAACCGATTCTCGATACGCAGCTTACCGACCACTCAGTCACCGTGAGTGTGCATTTCGTCGACGTGCGGCAGACGCCCAAGCCGGTGTTGGACTGTTTTCGTCTGTGCTGCAAGAGCAATGGTTTTATAAACTCGAGGAGGAATTTGGTCTTGACCTGATTAGTGCAAGGGCGCAAGACGAGCTGCGGGCTCACTTGAGTCAGCTCGTTGACGGTGGGCGACGAGATTCACGTCCTTTGCGTCGCCATTCAAGCACAGCGTCAAAGGCCGGATTGAATGGCTAGAGCCTTTCGACATGCTGGCATAGCAGCTGAATCCAGAGACATCGATTCTATGCTGAACGCACCTACCTCAACACCTGGCTCTGCGCTGCCCAGTCCTGCATCTGGAAGGGCAACTCAAGCGCACCAGTCCGATATTTCCCCCACTCAGCCGGCCTTTGCAAACACTTCCCCGCGTACCGCTCGTGCCTTGGCCAACAACAATGCAATCAAGGTGTCGGTCCTCCAAGCACGCCTACAGGAGCAGCACGCATTTGCATCGCTGCAGGCCATGTTTGTTTAGAATCTTACTCATGTAGCAGTACGACACAGCCAGCGACGCGTTCCGGTTCGTGGGCCACAAGGCCTCTTGGGTGAGGGCGACTCTCTCGCTCAATTGCTCCGGTGTCGGAGTGACGCCGGACAAACGAGGTAGAAAACCAGACTTCAATGCCTCGGCGTTATTTCGCGACTTGGTTATGACTGTTTCCGTCCCGACAATTGTCAAAGCAAAGTATATCCAACAGATCATGCCCAATGAGACGGCTGAGCGCGGTATCGGACCATGTTCTCATCGCCAACGGAAAATTACAAGAGGTCACTGTGTGAATGTGTGAACTCAACAACACAGCGGCACAGCGGCGACAGTGGTACAGAGCGACTCACAGAGCGACTCACAGAGCGACTCACAGAGAGTCTCACAGAGAGGTACAAAGAGGTACACAGACACAGACACAAGAGGGACTCACGGAGAGAGATGCAGACACAGACACAGACACAGACACAGACACAGACACAGACACAGACACAGACACAGACACAGACACAGACACAGACACAGACACAGACACAGACACAGACACAGACACAGACACAGGCACAGACACAGACACAGACACAGACACAGACACAGACACAGACACAGACACAGACACAGACACAGACACAGACACAGACACAGACACGCGGATGGCCTTGTCCATCTCGCTTACTTCCAAATTAGAAGCCAACATGGCCTGTTTGGGGTGCCATGCTAGTCCTGATACACCTACAATAGTATGTACCAGAAATGGCCCAAAAGAGTGGATGAGTCCATGGCCTCGTCCATCAGGGCGAGCGGTCGGAGAAAAACCGATGCTGCACTCACCATCACTGTGACCGTGCGGCTCATGCAGTTGTTGGTTCGAGTCAGTGGTCCCGATGAGGACCCGGCTATCCCTGCCAGCAGAAGTGCACGGCACACCACACAACATTTGTCAGCTTGACGCAAGACTGAAGCGGGTTGCCAAGTTGCTATTTCGGCGAGAAGTACACGTACTTGCAGCCTGTGGCCAGATAACGGCCCGATCCCCACCGCCACTGAAATTTGTGTGTAGGTCAATTCATGGCTCTGCGCGTGCTTGCATGACTGGAGACAAGCACAAGCAGACAGGGACGAGGAAGGTGAAGCCAACAAACAGCACATGGCACGAGCATCCTAAAGGGCCGTGTAGTACACCACAGATTTGGGTATTGTCGGTAGATGACCACCTAGTGAAATTCGCCACGCCGTGTCGCGATCACTGAATCATATCTGTAGCAAAAGCACATATCAAGTCAAAAGCCAGCCAGAAGTACTCGCGGCTCAAAACCAACATGCAACGTGCCAAAGCCGGGTCTGTCCAACGCACCGCTCATTGTCGGACGCGTCTGGCAAGAGCGCTGGGGCCAGTGCTAGACAAGGAGGTGATTCATGGACGTAGGCATGACCCAACAAAACTCGCGTGACAACGAGCATGCGCTCGCCATCGAGTCCACCGTAGGTGGACTGATGATGACTCTAAAGTCATACACAAAAGCGCATCTGGCATCAGAACAGCGGCGCATTCCGATCAAACCAGTCGCAATTTCAAACACCACCTTGCCAAAAATGGTCGACCAAGTAAACACCGAAATCAAACCGGTGGCTCGCGCGGCTGCCGGCAAAGCGATGGTTGAGGCCAAAGCGCACAATCTTGTCCAGCAGAAATCGCTCGGGCGTGATGCAGCCAGTGCTCTTGACAGGTTGTCTCTCGAAGCAAAGCTGGACAGCCCAAGAACACGTCCGAGGTGGTGGTTACAAGTCGATTATAGTGCTCCTGACTTGTGAGGCGGTACAACATCTCCCGTCGCTTGCTGCTGTACCGTTCCCACAGCATGGGATTCTGCACACGCTCCACCCGCTGCACTGCAATGTTGCTTGGTCCTTGCCTGTCCGTGCTCAGCTGCTGAGGAGTTCAGCCACCTAGCCACACAATAAATGCATCAGTCGAGACGATACCTTCGTTTGAACATGGCCATTTGCTCGGCCGTGTCTCCAGAGTGCCAAGCTTGATCGTGGAATAGGCTGCCAAGGGCGCTGGTCGTCTCGGCCAAGAGTCGATGGATTACAACCGCCGTCATCCAGAAGGTCGCGGCGTACCCCAAGCGTTGGCCGATACAGGTACGTTGTCGTTTGTCGACGAAATACAGCATAGTCGTCGGGCGTGTCCAGCCTGCCCCGCTTCTCCAGCCAGCTGCTCAGCCTGTGCTCCAGAAGATTGCTCAGCAGCAAATAGATGAGAATCAGCATGCTGATTTCCTGATCCATGTATGGAAAGGTATGCCGTTTATTCAGAGACAGCCAGCAGTCAGGCTACACAGCATGTGAAAGGCCAGTTTTGGGTTTGCGAGGAAGCGGGTCGTGTTGAGGAGGCGTTTTGCAAGAGGTTTGAGAGACGTCCGTCGGGACGAAACAAGAAAATTTCTCGAGGTCAATTGAACCAGCTGCGGTCGGCAAGCATTCACAGTGACCAGACCAAGAGGTGTTACAACAAACAAACAAAAAACAACGAATAACGGTGAACACAAGGTTATCAGACAAGGCTGTCTGCCAAGACATTGCAAGGTACACGAAGCTCGCGCGGGCGACGCATGTGCCCCCAAAAGGGAGGACACGGCTCAGTACGTCTCGGTGCGTATGTTAGTCAGGAAATGAAGTCATGTCAGCTCCATAGGGGCTCCTGTGGCAAGACCCCTCATCGATAACGCAGATTGTGTGGAAAAGCAACTGAACAAAGGATTTGCCGCTCACAACAAACTAGCACCTAGTCCGGCTCATCCTATTTGGCCGTGTAGTATACAACCAGCTCCGGATAGATTTGGGCATTCTCAAACACAATCACCTCATGGAACTGCCCAGAGGGTGTCGCGACAACCGAGTCATACCTGCAAAAGTAAAATGGCCGGCGCAACATAACAGTCAGATCAGGAGGCGGACAGAGACAACATGCAACAGATGGTCGATGTTGTCCGACGCACCGCTCGTTGTTGGGCGCATTGGGCAGGAGCGGAGGTGCCAGCGCCCCAGAAGGAGGCGATGGATGGACATGGGCATGGCCCAGGAGTGCTCGCGTGATGACGAGCATTCGTTCGCCGTTGGGTCCGGCACCGGCGTACTGATGACTCTGAGATCAAGTGTAAGCACATTGCGTCAGCACCACAGCACTTGGGTAAACAGGCGAGATTGACAGCCAGCGCGGCGATACCTTGCCGGGATGGTCCGCCAAGTAAACACCGAGACCAAAGCGGTGGCCGGCACTGTTGCCGGCAAAGCGATAGTCAAGGCCCAGGCGCACAATCTTGTCGCGCAACATTGTGTCAGGGGCGATGCCGTGGAGCAACAGGCGCTCTTGACAGGATGTATCGCGAAGCAGCGCTGGAGAGCCCGAAGGCGCATCTGATGTGGCCGTTTGAATCTGGGTGCACTGCTCCTGACTTTTGATGCGATGCAACATTTCGCGTCGCTTGACGCTGTAGCGCTCCCACAGCACGGGGTTGTGCACGCGCTCCACTCGTTGCACTGCAATATTCGCTGGTTCCCGTCCATCGGTGTTCAGCTGCTTCAGTAGCTCACCCACCTAGCCACCCAATAGGTTCAAATCAGACGATTCGCGGAAGAGAGAGAGAGAAAAAAAAAAAAAATGAAGCAATCACAAGCGACGCACCTCTGACATGAGCTCGGGCGCGTCGCGCAAGACATCAATGGCTGGCCCGACTTGGGCCAAGGCAGGCTGCTGCGCGATGTTCCGGGCGCTGAAAAGGCTTGGCCGTTGCTTCGGATCTGTTGCAAGCAAAGCCCGCGTTTCCTTGTACAAATCACTCGACGAATCGCACATCTGCATCAGAGAAACCAACGTGAGTTTCCATCACATTAGAGGCGCGGTGCCCAGTTGTCGTTTCAGAGAATCACAATACGCTTACCTCAGTCGCCAAGTGCGTAAAACCGAAATTTGCATTCTCTGCTCCTGCATCCCATGTGCATTTGTCAACAAGCTGATCCGTGGGTAAACGAGCAGGCGGCACCGTTTGTGGATACATGTACGTGTTGTAGAGAACGCAGCCAAAGGAAAAGGCATCCTGTGCCGGTCGTGCACCTACACGACCCATTCCAAATAGCACCTCCGGTGCTACATAGCCAGTCGTGCCTGACGATGCAGTGGCCGTGCATGGTAGCATTGTGGCTTCAGCGGCAGCCTTGGTAATGTCGAAATCGCCGAGCCGCACAACAGGTTGGTCCTCGTCACCGTCCAGCATCACATTGCTCAGCTTGACATCCCGATGCACCAGGCCCTTGCTATGCATAAACGCCAGGGCCATGCGCAGCTGCGTCATCAAACTCGCAACGACGGTCGAGGTGGCCAGATGCCGCGCCTTGCCGAGCCACTGCTGCAAGTCACCCTGTGTACACCACGGCTGCACCAAGTAGGCGCTGGGGTGGCCACTGTGCACGTCCACGAGCGCGCCAAGGACCGGAATGATGTGTGGGTGCTCAAGCTGGCGCATGGCGCGAAGCTCGCGCAGGAATGTACGGCACTGGTCCTGCTTGTGTTGCCGGGCAAAAGCGTACTCTTTCACAGCCAAATCTTGTTCCTCAGATTCTGGTAGCGCGGCGCGGGCCTTGTAGACCTTGTGATTTTGGTTGTAATGAAGATCAAGCTGGCCCAGGCTGGAGAGCGTCAAGCCCTGGTCTACTTCGGTCATGGCCTCCAAGATCAGGCTGGCTGGAAGGTTGGGCCCAAGCACAGTGCGGAGGCGCGCTCCCAGGGTGCTCTGTTCAGGGTGCAGAAAGACCAGCAGCGCTGGAAAGTGCTGATGCAGCAGCTGGGCGAGTTCTGCGAC